GACGATGAAAAACGAAATAAATTAAAAGCGATATATGAAAAGATGTTAGGTGAGTTTTTCTGTGTGTGAACATTGCATTAATTATTTTTTTATAAACTATAAATTTTGATGAATCTTTAACTTGATGTTCATTTTATACGCATAGATATCCAAAATAATGAGAAGAAAGCATCCGAAGAACTTATAAATCATGAAATATCCAATTCCAAACATTGTGTCATACACATGGAAGAAGATATAGAATGTGTACGTACAGAAGAATTAAACAATATGGAGGATAATTTGGATTATTTTGATAAAAAGGAAGAAGAACACACACTACGGCAAGCGGAAAGAAATAATGAGGTCCAAACTATTAATAAGGAGTTGGCACTCAAAGAAAGCCTCGTGTCGGAATTGTTAAAAAATGTTACGCAAGAAACCGCTGAAAGCCGTAGGAATGTCATGGAAATGGAACAAGAAATCAAACGGCTACATGCGGAAAAAGAGGAACATTTACAAGCAGTTTATGCTCACAATGTCAGTTCTAAGTAAGTCATTTTAGAATTGCCGCCTAGCTTCTCTATTTATCTTTTTAGTAAGTTTAGTTTTTACAAATACAAGATTATGCCTCAGTTCCACGTAAAATATGAATCGTGCTATATGTGAGAGGGATTGAACCCAAGATCTGCCTACTAAAAGTCGACTATTCTCGTAATTGAGTCATGCATCGTTACATATGATTGATACAATTTGGTCTTAAGACCTGTACTCTTAATTATGTAACTTTTATAATAATGACAGTATCAGCTTTTTTTTATTATAAATTCTTGGCTTTTATATATATATATATAATGTCCACGCTATGTAACGATAATGTTATGTGTTCGCGCGCGCGTGCGTGCGTGTGTATATGTAAGGGTATCCCAGAATGACCGTCAAATATTTCGTGCGCAGGTAGAGCAGATTAAACTGAGTCGAAAAGTTTTGTATCATTTTGCAATAGTTAACAAGATATCAATTAACTAAAAATCACCGAATATTTTTTAAAATAATTTTTTACTCGAGTACTATCAACTTTACAGAGAAACGGTAAGAGACAACAATTGTTTATTTTCTTATAGAACTCTAATATTTTCAGAATTTTTTATCAACTTTTTAGTATTGCATTTTCTTATTGACACATATTTTTATTAACATAAGAAAATGCGATTCTAACAAATTCTGAAAAAATTCTCAGAACAAAAATTATTTATTTTCTTCTCAGAACTTTATGAGAAGAAAATAAATAATTATTGTCTTTTGTTATTTTTTTGTAAAGTTGATAGTATTTGAATAAAAAATTATTAAAGACTGACTAATATTCGGCGATTTTTAGTAATTGCTATCTTGTTAACTATTGCCAAAATTGCAAACTGATAGAGGACTTTTCGACTTAGTTTAATCCGCTCTACCTGTACACAAAATATTTGACAGTCATTCTGAGATACATCCTGCATATAACGATAATGTAACGATACTGTCGTTAAGAATTATAAAGAATATGGGTTCTAATCGATAAGTATACTATTAAATTTGTAGCCTTTTGTTCTGAACTCTAAATTGTGACGCGACTTTTTTCTAGATTTTTCTAAGAAATCTTTTACGTTAAGGTGTAAACTTTAAGTAAGCTAATCAAATCAACGATAAAGTTTACAGCTTAGGATTAATTAACGTCTTACAGCTTAGAGCTTAAGAAAAGACTTATTATATCTATTGTAGACAGAATTTAATACTTTATTTAAATGCTCTTTGTGCGCAGATTGGCTGAGACGCGTCGTAAAAGAGTACAAGAACTGGAAAAAAAGATAGCGGAATTGACACGTAGATGCATGGAACAGAATAAGATAATCAAAGCGAAAGAGAAACAGGATCAAAGAATTAAAACTCTCTCCAGTGAGATACAATCGTTAAAAGAAACTCGAGTCAAGCTTATCAGACAGATGCGCAACGATGCAAATAATTTTACAAAGTGGAAACAATCCAAGGAAAAGGAAATTATTAAATTAAGAACGCAAGATCGTAAACGTACTTACGAAATGCTTCGCATGAAAATACAACATAATAAACAGGAGAATGTTTTTAAAAGGAAAATGGAGGAAGCTTTTGCAGTTAACAAAAGATTAAAGGTACGTTTCTTTGCCGACAATAGATGCGTTCCGTTTGTAAGCATTATTTTATTCTTGTTGTTTATTAAATGTTAAACAAGGACAAATAATGCTTACAAGTGCTGTAGATTTCGCGAAATAGAACGCACCTATAATCTATTCTGTCTATTATTCTGTCTATCTGATATGCTTATTACATGTTGGCATTTCATAATGGCATTTCTGCTATGCAACCTATTAAGCTGAGTGATTTATGTATGGCAGGGTGCTTTGGAGATGCAGAAAAAGGCGATGCAACGACAAGAAAAGAAGGCCAATAGCAAAGAAGAGATAAAAACTTGGATTGCTCAAGAAATGGAAGTATTAATGGCCACCGTAGAAGCAGATTATTCTCTTGAAAAACTGATGCAAGATAGAGCTTCATTGGTATATCAATTGGAGCAACTTAAAAAAAATAACGATTCGGATGAAAAGGAGCTTGCAACTGTTACTGAATTCATAGAATTGCGCAACATACAAATTGCAGATCTACAACAAAAGATTCTTGAGTCAGATCAGGGTAAGATCTCTGTTAAGTTGATTTAAATAATTTTATTGAGCGAGGAGCATTGAGAGTCACTTTACTAGCAAGTGTAGTAATTCGTCAATAAATTTATTTTTCTTTAGAAACTAGAACAAATACTCGATGGAATATGATACGTACAATAATGGACGCAAAAGTAGCACTTGAAACAGCATTTCACGTAGTTACACAAGACAGGAAGCAACAATGTTACAAATATAACGAATTGAAAGTTAGTATATAGAGAAATATTGCATGTTTATATGTATAATGTGCGTGTTTATACATATTATAATATATACTATGTGGATATACATATAATATGCTCTCAAGTCAATTATATAAAGATAACTGATATTTTAGGAAAAGTATCAGAATCTAGAAGCACGACTAGAAGAGTATGTAAAACAGGAGAGAGTAAATAAAATATCTTGTTCGCAAGATTCATCTGATACATTTTCTAGCGATACTGACAAATCTTTGATAAAATCTGTAAAGAGACAGGTATTAATTAATTTTATGAAACGTTTATAAAAAAAATAAACATACTCTGTGTCCTTACTCAGAAAAAAGAATAAAATTATTATTATGCGCTTTAGGTTTCGACAGAGAATTTAAATGGAAATAAAAAATTATCGTCCAAGAAAAGAAAGATGGAAAGTAAAATAAAAGAAGAAATAGTCGATGAGAATGCTTATCTATCGTACGATGACAGTTCAATGACGGAGGACGATGTCGATAAAGATCCAGATTGGAAAAAAACGCCGCTTTATAGTCGAATACAAAAATTACAGGTAAATTTGTGTTGTAGAAACTATCTTAATTACGACAAATGTCATATACCTTATCGATACTTGTTTATTTCTGTCATACAGTTTTTGTTATTAACGAGGGGACCTCGCAATGTGTTAAATTCTGATTTTAATGAAACTTTGTACACACATAGATTACATAAAAAGATGAATTAAAAAAAGATCAGTTGCGAAGGAAAAGTGATTTTAAGGGATGAAATCACCTTATAGGTAAATGCAGGTTTTAGCTTTTTTTATGATATCTTGAAGACTACTCCGGAGATGAAACAATATTTTCTAAACAATGGTTCACAAATTTTTCAAAACAATGGTTTCAAAACATGGTTTCTGTAATAATTTTAATTATCTTTATTTACTCACATCAATAATGTTTTTAAAAAATAATTAAACAAATAAGGGATGATTTCACCCCTTAGGGACTCTGCGCAATCAAAGGAATAGAGAATAAGAATTTTAACCACTCGGAAACCATGCACTGTGGAATACACAGTTTCTGACAAGTTGAAATTCTTAGAGCGTGTTAGAGATTTATTGATTCGACCCGACTCCGAGTTAATAGTCTGTTCTATTCAGCTGCAAAAGAAGAGCTAAATTGTGCAAGAAATGCAATTGAAAAGAACAGTGTCAACTTGAAGTCAGTAAATACGAATACGCTATTAGTTCTTGTCCCTGTTCTTATTTCTTGTGCGTTAGTCCCTTAAAAAACTGTTTTTCTGCTGCAACTGATATTTTCTAAATTTATCTTTTTATATAATCAATATGTATATATAAAAAAAATTTCATCAAAATCAGAATTTAACACGAGAGTCCTTTGTTATATGTACAAAAAAGTCTAAAATGTACAAAAACTATATAATCTGTACAATTGCGTGAAATTATTGGAATTTCAATAATTATTTTCTTTATTTAGAATAAATCGAAATTCTCAATTCAACGACTGACCTTTAATAAGATAGAACCTGATAATGAGAATTCGATAAAATGTGCTTGTAAAACAAAATGTGCTACGCGAGTATGTACGTGTCGTAAGAATGGCGTTACCTGCAACAACTGTAATTGTGACTCGGAACAATGTCAAAATAGAAACATAGAGAATGTAAGTGTCATATTATATTACATTATGTTTAGATACATATCATATGTGTATCTAGATATTATATTAATTAGTATATATACGTTTAGTGTATGCTATAAATTTTTCTTTTTCTTTCCAGTTGCGTACTACGCTGTTTTCAGATGTTGCAATGTCAGATAAAGTGAGATGTGATTAGAAAAGAAGATGAATCATTTTTTTTCAATTGTGCATGAAAAGTACATTTACTTCACAGTATCATGCTCAATCTAAATATTGTATATATATATATTCTAATTTTTCGTATCACAAATATTTATTTCACTTTTCATATTTTGACATAAACTAAACATGATAATTTCAGATATAGGAAGACTCATTTGTTAGAAGAATCCTGTTTAGCTTACAATTCTGATTGCACACACTACTCATATCAGCTGATGCTTAGTAATTTTTCATTGCTTTATCAATGAGAATATTTTATTTTTAAATTGACCAATTAGCGATACATATGTGCAACATACGATGTGTGCAATCGGAGCTTAAAACATACATACTGGAAAGACCATAGGTGACTGTCGATGACGTCAACATCTATCTGTCCTTGTGTGAATGTTTCACCATGATGTGCATACGTCGATTATGAATATCTATATGTGCATACGTACAAATTTCAAAGCTCGCGTAACGAAAGCATACAAGATTATTAAAAAATAGGATTGCGTTATACATCTCAAAATATCAACGAAGCAAAATAAAATATCTCTTCATGCGTGAGTATAGCCTTACTTTGTAGATAATTTTAAGTCATGTGCTTTAAGGTTATGTATTGAATTAATTTAAATAGTATAAATATATAAAATATGTAAAATATATTTTAAATGTATAGTTATAATCAACACCGATGACAATTTAATAGCTGGGAACATTCTTTTCTATCGTTTTCAAATTTCAAATAAGATTTTAATAACTATTCTATATTTTTTCAAGTTCGAATTACGCGGTATCATCATGCGCAAGCGCACAGCATTCAGACAAGGATAGATGTTGGAGATACTTATTACATTGGTTACATACGGTATGGCTCTTTCAGTATGTATGTTCTAAGAATTGGAGTTTTTTCCACTTACATTTTACGTTCCGTACAATAATATCGGTTAATCTTAAATCGCGTAATATTGTGCATCAATATCCAATTACCAATTTTATAATCAAATTTATCACACAAATCGAGCAATCATAAAGAAAATTGTCCAATAGTCGATTATTTTTCTCATATTCGACTGTGATTAGTAAATTTTTTACAACTTAAGCCTCTTATGACCGCTACGACTTTTATTGTAGACCTCACATAAGTCTTAAACTATAAGAAATGGACGAATTATAGTCAGTTATTTTTCTCGCAGTCAATTATAAATTGTAGTCAATTATTTTCTGTAAAGCTGGATTTACAATAGATTTTTAAGCCTTAAGTCATAAGAAATGAACAAATCACAACTGATTATTCTTTTCGCATTCGACTGTAGTTTGTCAATTTCTTACGGCTTGAGGCTTAAAACACCTATTATAGATCCGAACTAAGAGTGCGATTACATACAATATAACGCGGTATGTGGTACAGAAACTAACTAATTATAGGAACCGCGCAAATCGTGCCGCTTGCTTCTTTTCTTCTCTATTACATGAAACGGGACGGACTAATGACAAGTAAATTTTAATATGAATTTTTAAAAATATATTAAGGCCCAGTTGCATCAATGTCACTTTGACTTTAAGCGAGACTTAAAACTATCTGTCTCGTTTTAAAGCCAAAAAGAGATAAGAAGGGTTTTAAGCCTCACTTAAAATCAAAGTAACGTTGATGCAATCGGGCCTAACTTATTTTTATGCACATTTTATCAACATTCTTATTTTTTCAACAAATTTACTTAATAATTGCATTTAAATCAATTCTATTAAAAAGTGCTTAATAATGTGAATTTGTCACTGGCCCATGCTGCTTATCGCGTTACATGTACGGCTGCGTTTGTATTCCCACCTGGGTGCTCCCCGGATGTCATATCATTTTTGTTATTTACCGATCGTTAAACAAGGATGGCATGAGGAGCATGGATGGGAATCCGAACGCAGCTTAATAGAGGAGAACAGAAGCAAGCGGCACGGTTTGTACGATTCTTATATATAGCTATCTAGTTAGTTTCTGTACCACGTACCGCACTACATGTAATCGCATCTTTCGCAAGTATAAACGCTCCCTAACTTGCGTCAGCCAATCAAATTGTCTCAATTATTATAACATATAATAGTTGATACGATTTGATTGGTTGATGCAAGTTACGTCGCATGGGAAACATAAAGCGGGGAGCACAGACTTTTGCATAACGCATAAAACATGAGACATAAGAAAATTAACCAATCGGAGTCCTTTATTTCGTAGAAAGGAAGGAAATAAAGGACTTTGATTGGTTAATTTTCTTATGCATTCTGTGTTATGCGTTATGTAAGAATCTATGTTTTATGCCGTTCAAGGGGCTCCGCACAATAAAAGGTACAGAGAACGGAGAACATGATGCATTAAGCACTTTATGCGTTTAAGCACTTTAGCTCGGAACGCACTTCTAGAGTTTTAGATTTATAAGAGAACTGTGACTGGTTAAATATTCCAATTGGTGATTACAATCTCGTTACTTAGCAGTAAATTATGATTTCTGTATATTAAAAATGGCTGCTTAATGGATGATTGGTGGATTGTATAGTCCATCTTGCAAACGACATTATTTTTAATACTTCTAGTACATTTTAGTACTTTTGCGATATTGACATAAGTCATACTTTTCTGATAAATTTAGGAGTGTGGTTCATTTAATGCTATAAATGTTTTAAAGCTTTTGTTTGACCAATCCGAAAAAAGAATTTTATTAATGGACCAATCAAAAAAGAGTATATTAATTGTCCACATTTTTAATTGGTTAATTAAAAATAATAGAATCTTATTGGTAAAGCAGTTAAAAGTTATTAGGAATTGGTTGATATGAATGGTGTGCAATTGAACTGTGTGCAAATGCGCCGCTCCAATAAAAAAATACTTCGAAACATTTGTAGCATCAAGTGAACTGTAGCCTAGGGCCTGTATTCAGAATAACTTATACCGATATTAGCGCACTAACATGCTATAATTTACGTTACGCATACTATAGAATTTTAGATATAAAAGCGCGTTCTGAACACGGGCCTAGAGCTTTAGTGGAAAGCGCCTGCGCCTGCATTCGTCCGCCCTTGTCTTCGCTCTCGCCCTGGCCCATAATTCGCGAAGCCGAAGTAGTCCAGGTCATTAAATATTATCAGTAATCAGTATTGCCTAGTGTTGTCGCTTGTCAGACGTGTTTGCCGTCCTTAGTTTGATGGCTTTCTTCAGAGCGACTGACCGTTAAGCAACAAAACTAGCTTGTTCCGAAATAGAAGACAAATTGACGTATGATCACGTACGGTACGCGGTGAACGATCAGAGAGAACTCCACTTGCTATGTCGAACATAAATTGTTACGAGTCTATCAATATGCGATGGAAGACGCAGCTTGCTCGGCAGCTGTTACGCCGCCGTTAATCATATTTACCACATCATCCATAAAAAATCCGTCATTGGAGGCTCTGATCTGTCAAGATAAACAAGGATCGACAAATATTCTACTGTCATAGTCGAAATTTTACACTACCTAACGTCATGGATGGTACCTGCCTTCATCAAGTCATCACAGCACCCATAAAAAATTTCCTGCAATTGCAACGAATCAAAGAGTAAGATGTGAATATAGATTGTATTATAGATTGTACAATTCAATAATATTGTGTATGTGAGAATGTTATAAAGCCAATGTTTTTTAAAATGTCATTCTGACGAGCTTGTTTAAATATAATCAGTATGTGCCTATTTCTATATAATTTTTTTAAATTTAATTCGAGTAAATAATAAAAAAATTAAGTCTCCTTGCTAATAAAAAATTAAGACTCCTAATCTCCCCTAATGTTTGCTAACTCATTATTTTATTTAGATAATCCGCTCTGTTCTGATTTAATCTTTATTCTTATAGTTTTGCATTTTTGCATCCTTGGAATTCAGCTGGACATTTGGCATGTAGCATCTATTTATATGCAAAATAATTTATATCTATAATGCATGAATTGATGAGTAAATATATTATCAAATCGGTTATACATTAGGTATTGATTGGGTATCTCGTATATAAGAAATCTGACAATTGGTTGGTGCTGTTATTGTAATATTATTAATCAAAGTTGTGAGTGTGATACTTTACTAGCTAAGTTTTGTCAAGTCCCAGTTACGGTACGGTTAGTAAACAGTAGCTGATAAATTTAATTTTGTAATGTTATACGCATGTTTTGCCATAGCTACACTAGTTGAGAGTTCAAGTCTTTACTATATAGGATAGATGAGTCTACAAAAAGAAATAACAAGTTATATTTTACAATATGTTAAAGAAAAATATCAGATATATTTCAATATTATGTAATTATGTGTCCATTATTATCTAGTCAAAAACAATTACATTCAGTTTTTCTATTATCTTGCAATTATATTGTGTTACTTGAGCTCGAAAGTGATTATGCATGTAGCAAAATCTTAAGACAGTGTACAAATTTTAACAGAATGCACTAGCACCGCTTGTAGGATAATACAAGATCAAAGTATCTTCTGGCGATATACTCTAAGGACCATTCTACCAAAATGGACACACGAAAAGAAATTCTATGCTGTAGCGTGGATTACACTTTCCTCTTCTTAAAGTAGTTGAACAAGCAAGTATCTTAGTTGTGATATAACGAGTACAAAGTACATGTACAACATGGAAAAGCATATATGCATATTACAATACACATGATATATATATATATATATATATATAT